GCATTAGTTCAGAGCATCTATGTACCAAGTTCATCAAAATCCAATGAGTGGTTGTTTAGATATCAGTGGAACAGTCATGGAACCACTAAAAAATAGCTAATTATCATGCAAATTAGGTAATTAATATGCACGGATTTTTACCAAAAATTAATCAAATCTGCGCATATGTTCAGAGCATCTATGTACCAAGTTTCATCAAAATCCAATGAGTGGTTCTTTAGATATCAGTGGAACAGTCATAGAACAGCTAAAAATTAGCTAATTATCATGCAAATTAGGTAATTAACGAGCATGGATTTTTACCAAAACCTAATCAAATCTGCGCATTGGCCCAGAGCATCTATGCACCAAGTTTCATCAAAAACCGATGTATGGTTCTTGAGATAGCAGTGGAACAGTCGGACACACATACACACATACACACACACATACACACATACAGACACACTAACTGCAAAGACTCCCATTTTGTGCTTCGCACATGGGAGTCAAAAACACTATCACATGGTAAAACAATAAAAACAATATCACATGGTAAAACAATAAAAACACTATTTTAATTTATAATCAAATAACTGTTGACAATGTAAACAAGTGTCCATACATTCAAAGTAGTACATTCCAAAATGCCAATCACATATTTACAATGACACAGTTTCTCATTTTGACACACTCACTAATTCATGTTTATTTTGCAGTCTCAGACAGTATTGCAAAGTATATAGCATGTTTTACTACTAATTGCTATTGTCAGTTATGAATGTGTAACACTTTGTGTACTGCAAAATATTTTATTTTAGCTGGAATTAATTTTCACTGAAAAGGAATTTTTTCTGTTTTGTATGGAATTATTTTCCCTGATTTTTGATGAGTTGAATGTAAAATATACAAAAAAAGTAGATTTAATGGATTTTATATTCACTGATTTTTGATGAGTTGAATGTAAAATATACAAAAAAAGTAGATTTAATGGATTTTATTTTCCCTGATTTTTGATGAGTTGAATGTAAAATATACAAAAAAAGTAGATTTAATGGATTTTATTTTCCCTGATTCATCTTTTCAGCAAAAATAGCGAAAATGAACTCTAAGCGGAAATAAAGTATTTCACAGTATATAATCTTAATCATTCACTTTTCATTGTTGTTTTAAAGAAAATTGAAAAAAAACTGCTTTTACCTTGTAATTGACAAAGAGTTGCGGAAGCATGAACAGAAAACCAAATGCATATACACCTACAGAAATAAATGATAATGCACATTTCATGTCTTTCAAATGAATTAAGCTAATACCCTGT